AAAGAAAATACACAGAATAGAAATAGAGACATATATATATATATATATATATATATATATACACTTTCTTTTCCGCAAAAGGAGGTAACTTTTTATCCAAATCCCCTCCTTTCCCACTAAGCACTAGTGTTACAAAACACTGACAGTGTAAACTCTCGCCGTGGTGGCGGAAAACTTCTCCTGCGAGGAGGACGCCTTCGCCTGCACACACCATCGCCCTGGTGGGAGAAATATCGGCCGGTGAAACTCCATCCACTGCGCATCAGTAGGCGGATTCACACAATACTGAATCGTCTCCGCTGCGCTCCGAACGACCTTCACGTCCGCCATGCCGATTCTCTTCAGCACCGCGATGCCGTCGTCCGGATTCACGAGAAAAGTGCAGCCCTGAAAAGGCCCGGATAAAATGGAAACGGACGGACCTCGCTTTTCACCACACATCACCGCCTCCAACACGGTTGTCGTCGTCTCATCGCAGAGAAGCTCGGACGCTTGGTTGGGATAGAAAATATAGTAGTTGGCGGCGAGAATGAAGATGGGCGTTTTATCCGTGATATGTGTGGTATTAGAGGGGTAAATACGGGGTTTGAGCGCTTTCGTAGATGGCGAGCTCGATCGGTAGGAGGTTTCTCTAAGATGCGCCGCAGCCACACCCGGGGAAAGTGTACCGTGACCATAATAAATGGGAGAAAGACTTGGTCCATTTCTCTCAGAATTATTATCTAGCTTCAACAAAGAGTTCGCTTGGATGGTAATGTTTTTCGGTTGAGGCTCTTTGGGTGCACTACGTGACGTAGCTTCATTCGATCTGCCGTCAATCACCACGTTAGGATGTGGCGCCGTTCGTCGATGCAGCCTCAGTGGGTATTCCTCGGTGTATGACATACGTTTCGAAAACTCCTCATCACGTGCGATAAGAAGATCTAAATCAGCAGGTACGTAAGGTTCACTAATGCTTGTATTCGCAGCAAGGACACTAGGCCCTGAGTACGCCAAGCCCAACGTCTCTTCGTGATCGAGGTGGCACATATTCGCGATGAGACGCCTTAGAGCAGCACCATCGCGTACGTTTTTGTGTATTTTAAAGTCCAACGAGTAAAGATTTGAGTTAAAATCACGAAAATACAGCGTACAGGCACCCTTGTCATGTTCATCGGTGCTTTCTCGGCTAGATGCGAGTGGATTCGGGTGGTCTCCCGCAATACATGACGATCCCCCTTTTGAACGTCGTCTCATTAATGTTATAATGTATATAATTACCATGATAATTAATATGAGGGCGATAACATACATTACAACAAAAATTGCAATTTTCCAACCCTCCATTGATATTTATTTTGAAAATCAAACAGGTAAAGGTATAAAAGAATAGACTAGAAGTTTGTTATGTATGCTTATGAAAGAGTGAGAATCTGTGAACTTTTGTATATAATGCACAGCCACGCATGAAAAGGATGACTTGAACAAATATTTAAGTTTCTTGAAACTTTTAAAAAATCCAAATAGAAGAGAAGAACAGATGCTCGCTGTAACTTTTGACGTTGTTATCTACAAGACACTCAGCAGTAGGCGAAGAAATGAGTTTTACTCTTTATACTTTCCTCGTAAGGTACTTCGTTCGAACCTCTAAGAAACGAAAACCAGTGACAGGCCTATTTTCAAGAGTTTTGTGACAGTATGAATTCAGCTGTCAACAAAACACTATAGCAATTACAATTAAGCAAAAAAAAAAAGCCTTTCCAAGGATTACTTCAACTTTCCATTAGGGTTGAATACTTTTCAAGGACAAAGCAAATTAGACAACGTACACAATCTAGCAAAATTTAGGAAACACAATTCCACTCAAAAGGAAACACAATGAACCTCATTCGGTCCGCAAATTAGTTGGTTCTACCCTCTATCTCCTCACTATCTCCTCAGAGACAAAAATAAAAAGTAAACATAAAAAGGCAGCAAAAAAAAAGTTTAGATTAGCCCTCAGTTTCGTTCTTGCCTATTCGGGCTTTGTATTTTTCTTTCAGATACTTCAGGTAGCTCCTTAACTTCGCCTCATCAGAAGCTCGCAAACCGAACGGAGTGGTTTCACCTTTACTTTTGCACAACATCTCGATTTCGTTTATAAGACGCACCTTGTCATTTGCAATGTCCGCATCATTGCTGTGACTATTATTGTTCTGTCGGCGGAGGGCAGCCTCTAGAACGGGATTACTGATCTTACGCTCGGTGGTATGAGCTTCCATGGTTCCTAAGTAGTTCATGGAGCCCTTTGGGGAGTGTTCTGCCGCTGCTTCCCTGTTTTGCGCTTTGCCAGGCAAATCCTTTAGAGTCGAAACTGCCATTGAGTTCGCATGATAGTCGTCTATTTGCATCGCATGCATACCTTCTCCAACCCTCACAGCCCTCCTTTCGCGCTGCTCGTCGTTTCGACGATTCCTTGCGACGGCGTCATTTACGCCTTTCGAGGAGTAGCTATTGGCAGCGCGTAAAGCATTTGTGTAGTCTAAACATTCTGAGCAAACGCGTCTCTTCTTACTATAGCCGCCGGGTTGAACCTTTTTCGGCGCACAATTGTCGCATACAGTACGCTTACATTCTTGACAAGTATGTTTCCACAGGATTAGACTGAAAGTGTGCGCACAAATGGGGCATTTACTAGCTGAAGTGCTCATGCACAAAATCCGAAAATATGTCTGCTGCTTAACTAAACTTCCAATAAGCTCTTCGTAATGTGGGATGGGTAGGAAACTATATAGTACGAGAGGAAGGGAGAAATGAAGTTGAAAATAGGCGGAGCACTACTTACGGTTCAATAAGAACATGCATCAACCTGCATTTTCCTCCTTCCCGTACTCTCTCTATCATATAGAAGAGAATAATATTAATATGAAGACGGGTTATACGGGAGCAAATCAGGAACTTCCGAAATCGAAACCATCACTTGCAATATGTCACAAGCCAGTCAATAATGATCCCACCACCATCATCACGAGATGACACAATTTCACAAGATTTAGGCATAGCCAAAAGGAAGGAGAAGGACTTTTAAAACGATCTGGAGAAATTCCACATATAAACATCAAGACAAACTATAAGCAATAAAGATATTTAAAATAAAGCAATTCTACTGCATTTTACATCATTCATCGATATCAATTTTTCGAGCAGCGGATTGAATAATGGAAAAGGTGTTGAAATCGACCGCGGGGGTGGGAACCCCTGTTACAGCGACATCAAACATTTCTGTTACCTCTGCGTCGGTCAGCGGTTCGCCAGACTCTGCGGCCGCCCGCTTCAAACTCTCCTTCGTTATATAACCCGGATAAACTTTATCTTCTAGCAACTCAAACGCAAACAAAAGCTCCTCTTGTTGGCTACGGGAGTTAAGTTTGCGCATTACTACCTGCTCAAAGACTTCAATGTCCACTCCATCACTGTTGATGTGTCTTTGCGAACGAGAGGAAAGATACTGGGTTTGGGAGTTATCGTATTCAGTCTTTCCAGCTTCCGTCAGCGAAGGTTTGTGCGTGCCGGTGGGAGAGGTCATATGTTCGGTTTCAGTATTCATATCGGAGTGCGTATCACAACCTTCCTTGCTTTTATTGGCACCTTGGTCAGGTTCCAAACCCGAAGATGCCATTTGAAGTTTTTGTTGCATCTGTTCCTGCCGTCTGTGATTCTCGCTGACAGTTTCCCGAGCATGAGACAGTAGTTTGAGCATCTCCATACGAGAAATACGCTCACCAGTGATGGTATACATTGCACGAGAAAGTTCACGCATGGAGATGCTGCCAGACTCCTCTTCATCAAAAATTTTAAATACATCATGAATTTCCTCCCTAAGATTATCTAATGAGCTCATTTCTATATTTCGAAAATTCCTATATAATAATTTTTTTAGGGTGAAATACGAAAATGATTTACAAATACATCTAAGCAAGAAACCATACAGAAAAAGCGACAATTCGCTTAAAAAAAAAATTAAACCCAAAATAAATTGTAACATAAATCAACCAAACAAAAAAACAAAAAACAGAAAATATGCAAAGCATAAAGTAATACATAACAGCAATGGAAATATAAGCCAATAAAATACATACATCAGATAAAACGTAAGGTACAGAGGAGCAGGTAGGATGCGCAGGGTCAGCTACTCCACCCCCCTCCGCTCCCCGGCGCCCCCCTCCCCCACGCCTTTCGGCGAGGGGCGAGAAGCCGGGGTGCGGGGTGGGGGAGTAGATGTGATCGAAGAAGAAAGCAGCCAAGGACGCTTCGCCCATTTGATACCCCGTGGTGGCGGAGGGAAGGGCTGGAGGGCCGGGGACGCGCACGCACGCAGCGGTTCGTGCCGCGCCCCCACACCGCCCCCCACCCCCCTCCAACCGCCACCGCCTAACCCCCTGCAAGAGCGAAGGGCGCTGTCGAACACACGCTGCAGGGGAAGGAAGAAACCACGCCTCACGCGTCGCACGTGCCGCCCGCTGGCCTCCAGTGCCTCCGGTATAAGCCCTCTTCGGCGAACTAACAGGGCGAGGGGGCGCACCCCCTCGAGCCGATCGCTCATGACTGTACTGCTGTGCTGCACTCCCCCGCGAAACAGGGGTCCCACCGAGGGAGGCAGCGCCCAACGTGAGAGATACCACCACCGAGTGGGGAAGCTATCACGTACCGCCGGCGCACACATCCCCCCCCCTCGCTCCCCCTGCTCCCCATCGTGAAACGGATCACGAGGGGGAGAGGAGGGGAAAAGAGAGACGGAGAGGCGCCCCGGCGGAACGCGGCCCGCGCGCATCATGGGAAGCGAACTGCTGCCGCAGGATCCACGGCCCTCCCCCCCCCACACACATCTGAAAGAGGCGGCGGGGTGGAGGGCGAGATCGGAATGGGGTGACTGTCGGCAGACGGTGGCCCTGGACCTGGCGTGTGAAGCACCCAGATCGGGGATGAACCACAGGGATGTAACGGGGACGGACTGCGGCATGCCAAGTCTCCTTGTGCACGCCGCCACGCACTTGCTGCGTTCACGCGCACCGCAGCCGGCAGCGAAGGCCACCAACGGCAGTGCGCCCGAAATCGTGGGCGAGGGACTTTGACGCTCAGGACCGACGCCGCCGCCATGGCGACGCCGCGCCCCGTGGAGCGAAGAGGCGGAAGCTCGTGCGGGATCTCTCCCGTTCTCAGACAGGGCGGCCGTTTCGGACAACGGGTTTGCGCTCCGACAGGCTGCCATGGGGCGGGGTTCTCCCCTCCTCTCGCGGTGCTCGCGCCGACGCTCGAGGGGGTAAGAATGAAGGGGGGGGCGGGATGGCGAAATGGGTTGACCGAAGCGCCTACTCCCTCCCCCGAAGGGGTGAAAGTAGCCATCTTCCTCCTCGCAAGGTATCATCATTCCCTCGCAACAGACCGATACGCACAGGCATACCGCGGGTCACGGTGGTTCTCGTGGTAGTGGTAGCATGCCCACGAGAACAACCCCAATCCCGTACCGCCTTGTGACATCTCACCTAATCACAATCACACTCACACACATATATACGTACACAAATGTGTTCTTTCATGCATATTTGAGGCTATTATTTCTATGATCACATCTTAACTCTTGTGGTTTATGTTTCTTTCTTTTTAGTATTAGACAAAATGTCAAATAGCATTGATAGAGTAAGAGGTTTTGTCATGTCATTGCGCTCATAATATATTTGCATCTTTTTTACACCGTTGTTTTGAAATTATTTATAATATATTCTATTTTCTATGTGAACGCTAAAACAAGTCTTTTTAGAAATAATATTTTGGATTTTCATTTTATATTCCTAAGCTTAATTTATGAAGAAGCACTAAGGTACACTGCAATTATTTATGCCGCAATGTTTTAGCAGTACTTTTCTAAATCGTTTCTCATAGTTGTTTTTTACTATAAAGGTTCATATTCATGAAATGTGAATACAATTGTGCTTCTGAAGAAAAGTCTATATCCGCTGCGTAGCGGCACGTCAAGGGAAGGCGAGCAATAAAGCACTTACGATCTCATCAAATAAAATACGTGTTTATCATTATTACAAAAAGAAGAAACCAAAAAAGTGGAATTAATTGGTGTATTTCACTACGATAGGTATCCTTTCAACGGATTTTATAAATTAAATAACTCCGAGCCTCTTCTGTTTTTGCAGTCCATATTCTTGTTGCTACAAAGAATATAGACTTATGAAATGCAGATCCCTTATATTTTTGCTAAAAATTTTCGTGCATAAAAGGAAATAAAAATTTTAGTTCATTAACCCTTCAATGATAGTCTTAATCAGAGTTGCTTCGTAATGAAGTCGGGATTTTTCTTTCTTCCTCAAGCCGTGCCGCTCACCCGGATACACAAGCATGTGGAAAGGCTTCCCCTCCTCAACCATGGCATTGATGAGATGGCAGGTGTGTGTGAAGTGCACATTTTCATCAAGCAATCCATGGGTGATGTAGACCCGGTGAAGCTCATCGGGAAAGCCCTTGACGAAGTGCACGATGGAGCTCTTCCGATACGCCTCACTAATCGTCCCGCGCTCCGTCTCCGGGTCCGCAGGCTTCTCGTGGAGGAGCCCCATGTACCGCTCGGTGTAGCCGGTGTCGTAGAACCGCCAATCCACCACGGGGGCGCCCGCGAGGCCGATCCGAAACACCTCCGGCGCCTGCGCCATCGCGAGCAGGGTGGCGTAGCCGCCGTAGGACCAGCCGAAGATGGCGACACGGCCTGGATCCAAAGACGGGTCCCGCTCGCAGAGGTGGTGAACCATGTCGACGTAATCCGTCGTCTCGAAGTGGCCCATGTTCTTCTTGCACACACTGAGCCGCCGAAGCCCGTTGGCGTTGCTCATTTGGTTATCTACAACCGCGACGGAGACGCCGTGGCGGAGCAGCACCTGTACGTTGGTCGCCGCGACCGCGTGGAAGTTCGCCTCCTCCACGAGCTGCGCGTGGGGGCCGCCGTAGATGTAAAGCGCGAGCGGGGAGGCCCGCGAATCCGGCTTTGCGTATGGTGAAGCAAAGACGGACGCGCTAATCTCCTCCCCACGGCGGTTCTTTATCGTCACCACCTCCGGAACCACCAGGCGGCAACCTTGCAGGGTGGTGGTTTGGACGCCCTCCCGGATTACGGGGAGTTCCCCCATTTCGATGGGAGCCTCAGTGGGGCTTGGTATCCACGACGCCGTCTGGGCAACCCGCCGCGAGAGGTCATCCCCGGCGTCTACGGTGGTGCCAAAGAGGACCGCCGGACGAGTTAAGGTGCTGGTGCAGTAGAAGATCTCCTCACCGTGCATTAAGTAGGAAGGGTAGACATGCTCGGTCAAAGGGGTGTGTCGGGTTAAATCGGGTGCGTCCTTCGGCTTCCGAATCGCATCCTCGGAGAGGGGAATGGAGTAGAGGGTTTTCTTCAGGCGACCCTCGGCGTTCGCGATGAAGCTGATTCGGCCCTTATGGACCTTAACGGACGCACTTTCCACATTCCACGTCCCACAGGTTAGGGGTTTCCAGTCCTCCTCTCCGGCCCCGGAAGGGCGGACGTAGAGATGATAGTGCGCGGTCGGGGTGTCCACGGCGGCGCAGTGCGTGATATCGTACGCCCCTCCGTAGAAAATCGGCTCACAGTCATCCAGATTAATCCACGCCCACGGAATTCGTTGGCTCCACTCCCGCTTGAAGGGGATGGAGGGCGAATCATTCCCGTGAACCTCTCTGTCTTTGGTGGCATAGAGACGCTGCAAAGACGCCTCGTCTATGAGTGGCAAGGATTTGACCGGGCAGGAAACTATCACGGCGTGTTCCTGGGTGCGGTTCAACAGATAAAGGTAAATGTCGGACTTGCCCTTGAAGCCGAAGCGCGGGATGTATTCGAACCCACCATCAACGCCCACCTGTTGAAGAGACTTGTTGGGAACGTACCGCATTGTGTGGGTCTGGCGCTCGTACACCACGATGGTTGTGCGCGTGTTGGGATCTCCGACCCTGGAGTACGCCATGCGCTCTATGCCGTCGTTCTCCGCATTATCATCTGCGATTTCGCCTTTAAGCAGCGCCACCTGCCGCATATTCGTAGAGTCAATATAGCTGAAGATAATATAGTCCTCGTTAGCGTAATGCCCAGTATATCGATAGAATTCCTCTTGCATGATGTAGTCCGCTAAGCCGCAGGGATGCGCCTCATCACCGATGCTGGTGATCTGCTCCACGGAGAGCGTAAGCGGTGCCGCGTCGTCCTCGGGGTGCTCGCTCAGATGCGCCATGTAAAGGTTGTGTTGGTTGACAAAAGTAAATGAGGTGAGCGACTCTGCGCTAGAACCCGCATTATCCCTGACAAACTGCACACACAAGTTAGGCTGCGTGGCGATCGCATCCGTATAACGCTCTCTGTCTTCCTTTGATAAATAGGAAAATACTCGCAATGGCTCTTTGCCTGCGCGAGGACCCTGTGTGTAGTAGATAAAAAGATCCAGGCCGATAAAGTAAAAAATGGCATGATCAGTCCCGCGTACCCGAAAGCTGCTGACGCCAGTCGTCAATTGACGCAAACGCTCTCGGAGCAGCTCCTCCTCTTTGCTAAGCTTTTGATCATGCTTGTCCGATGATGTGTTTTTATAGACAATCACTTGCTGTGGAGGATCGTCTAGCTTACTTTTAAGAACTCTGAAAAGATTCTGCTCTTTGCCTTGAGTCCAATAAAGGTAATCCCCAGCCACTGCCATTTTCTGGGGCCTACCGGCAAGCGCATAAGTTAGTTTCATGTGCGTCGCTACTTCAGCCATGTATTCCTTCATAGGAATGCATTGCGACATAGTTTTTATGAATCCGTGTGTTATCTTACTTTTTATCATGAAATTGAATGACTGATTATTCAAAATAATGGAAAAAAAGAGGTAGATTTAGTAGCCATTAGTAAAACAACTACAGAAAGAAGACAAATAAAAGCTTGTGTTAGCCAAGCGTTTAGCTTTTTCGTCAGACACAAATTTGAGTGCTATTAATGTTGATATATATATATATTACCTCTCCAAACAATGACACACTGCCAAAATCCAATATGCTGAGAAACTTCATCAGCTCTCTTCCGTACCTCTCATAATCAGGGTCTGCGTTTAAGTCACATAGGCATATTCATCAAGACCCATGGGTTTGATGAAATCTTTTTCAATAAGGTTTGATAAGCCCGTTTTAAATAACGACATGGAAACGGGACCGTGATCCTGAAGCCGCTCCTCTACGCACTCAAACAGCTCGGAATGCTTCATTGTGTGGGATCTCTTCAAGACCTCGACGATGCACAACTCCACCCTGCGTAGTTTGGTCATGAAAACCAGGTGCTCTTTATTCCTCTCCTCAGAGCTATCCAAACTGCAGGCAGGCGTTTGACTCTTTTGAGAGGCCTGCCATTCGGAAAGACTCAACGAACACGAGCAAGAAGTCCCGGGTGAGCTTAGCCACGATCGTCTTCCATTTTCCCCACCGGCGGCGTCCCCTTTGATCGCCGCGTTCACGGAGGAGTGCCTCGCCCTCGAGGAATAGGCTGCATGGTAACTGAAGCCCATTTCCGCAAAGCTGCACTCTTGCAAAGAGTTGGTTAGGTCGATCGTAATTTTTGAAGTCTTGATATGCGAGAACTGATCTGGGAGCCAGTACCAATACTGCTTCGTCTCAAGATGCACCTCACGCTGAACCAGACCGAACCGCAGGAGGCTGTGGAGGAGGTGCCCCATGATCGTTTTGGGAGTTTTCACCGGCATGTTTGTACACAACCACTGAAAGGTGATCGGGGGCCGCGATGTCGACGCGCTCTCCGCGCGATGGCGGACTTTGTGTAGAAGTTGCAGCAGAACGAGCACCACCAGGGGCCCGGTAACTTGAATCCCTGGCGAAGCCGGTGCGATGGCGTACGATTTGCCGTCGTGCATCGCTCCAGCCCCGTCGATCTGAGGCTCCTTCCCATCCTCGACGAGGGTCTCGCTTGGCTTCCCCGGCGGCGGCGTTGGGGAGGGCAGAGGGTGTATGATAAACGTGAGCCGCCCGCAACACATCGGCCAGGAGAGGTGGCGGCACTCCCACGTCACCTCTTCCGAGAGGACCACGTCGGGATGCCGATTGAGGGAAGCGATGCTCCCCTCCGAGCGCGCGGACGACGCCGTCCGCTCCGCCGCGGGGCTTGCGAAGGCGAAGGCCCTCCCCGCCGTGGCTCTGCGGGATCCGCGCGGGGTAGGGGAAAAGGCCTGCGACTGAGCCCCCCAACGCCTCTCCGAAGGAGAGCTCACGCCCGTCGACGACACACCATGAGGCTCGGTGAAACCTTCGCTATCCTCATCCGAGGAGTCATTCCCAAAAGACCCGCCGCAGCGCTTGGTGAGACGAAGGTTCGTGTAGATCCGGCTACCCCCTTTCTGCACTTTCTTCGATAACGCGGAGGAGAGGCCGAGAAAGAGGTTGCCGCCGATCCCAGCGGCGGCGTCATTGCGGTCATCCCAGCCTGGATCGCGCAGGGCCTCATAACCCGGGTAGGGCTGCAGCCCCCCCCCGTGGTTCATGCCCTCCCCGAGCGCATAATTGCGGCTCGAATAATACCACACGGTCCGGAGCACCGCGTCGACCAACTCCTTCGCGAAGAAGCGATGGTGGTGAAACAACGACTGAATCTCGCCATGCGAGACGGTCACGATCAGGTGGGGCCGCCACCACGCCGCACAGAGAAAGTACACGCGACGAAGCAGCGGGTGGCCATGGGTGATGAGCTCCTGTAGGGTCCGCCGGGCGCCCCCGCCTCCCCCGGGGGGCGTCGAGGTGAACGCCGCGAAGGAATGGCTGAGGCTATTAAACGGGAGCAGCATCGCGGCGCGCGCGGCCGCGGCGGCCGCGCGCGCCAACACCTGACGCCTCTCCGTCTGAGCCCCCCCGTCCTCGTGAAAGGGAGGGGGAAAGGAGGCCGGGTCGGGGATCGGCCCGTCCGCGCGCTCCCGGTCGGGCGGATGAACCTCCTGGACGGCACGCGTGAGATCCCGCAGGAGGGCCACACACGGCGCCCCTGCCGAGACCCCAAGGCAGCGGACGATCCGCGCCACCACCTCTTTTTCCACCTCCAACTCCGCCAGCTTCTCGAAGTGCAACGCGCAAGGGGCCATGAGGTTTTGATAACACGCGATGAACAACTCCCGCGAGGGGAGCAGGGAGGTGAGCTCGAGGAGGATGTTAAGGACGTCGAGCGAGGCCGCACTCGGCGTCTTCGTCGGTCGCGCGGTTGGCTTCAGCAACGTCAGTTTGGTATCGGTGGCGGAAATGGCGTTCACATTCTCCGCGACCTGCGCCCGAAAGGCATGGGCGAGCGTCAACGAGACGCTGTTTTCAAACTCACCAAAAAATGAACGAAGACCCTTACACAGCACACTTAGGGCGGTTTTACCAAAGTTTTGAAATTCGTCGCTACCAAAATCATGCGTGTCGGGGAAAGGCAGGTCCTCATGAGCATTGGATACCTCGCTGGGAAAGGAACCCTGCGCGATATGCGGCCGGGATGCGTTTGCTTCACGAATCCCTCCGCCCACCCTTCCATCGGACTCGGGATGCACGTCAAAGGCGATCTGCGTCATTTTCAGCATAAACACGCACATCTCGAACACATTCGGCGGAAGCAGCTGGAAGGAAGTCTTCGCGCGGGCATGGGACCTAGACTCGGCGTGATAATCCTGAACCGAGGCGGTCAAAAGCTCCTTGAGGTAGCCATGGATACGCTGGGAGAGGCACCCGAGCAGCTGCTTTCGCGCCGGGCCTTGTCGAGCGAAGAGATATAAAAAAGTAGGCAGACCATCGGCCGGAAGCAGCACCGCCTCACGGAGCTCCGCGCTCTCGCGTTCGAGGGGGAAAAAAGCCCCACCGGTCTTCGCGCGGAGGCTGTGAGGGGGCCCATCGTGCTCCGAACACGTCGCGCTGCGCATCCACACCTCCCGCTCCTTCTCCGCGACGGCGTTTGTCGAGCAGGAGACAGCCTCCGCAAAGGAAGCGAGGCTCGACGCCGCGTGCTCGCTGTCGGCATCCCGCGGGGGTTGAAACGGCACCCTCGTGGCGGCGCCCGAAAGCGGGGGAGGGGATCGCGCGAACGACGCGGCGCCTCGCCGAGAGGCAAGAGGGGCTTTTCGCGCCACCTCGCCCCCCATCCGCGGCCTCGCACTGCTCGTTTCTTCGCAGAGCTGAATCCACATCGAGACGCCCCACTGCTCGGCGAATTGCAGGGCGGCGGGGCCGGCCGTGAGGCCGTCCGTAAAGGCCTTGAGCCCTTTTAGCAACAAATGCCGCCCGTGTAGGGTGAGGGCCTCCAGGTAGTGCGTCGTTCCCGCGCTAAACATCATCAACGCGGATCGCAAGCGAACAAACCCCTGAAGGGCCTCCCGAAGGGCCTGATTGGCCTGCGCGACGCCCCCGCGCTCGGCGTGCGCGCTCGTGAACGACCTCGCCTCCCCAGAAAAAGAAAGAAACGGCATCGATGGGGGGCGCAACAAGGCGCCAACGGACGCGCTCGCGACCTTCTGGCCATGCCTTGAACAACACTTCATCACCTCCTGGAGAAGGTCGTCGAGCAAATCGTCCACCCCACACTCCTCGACCATGGTGCACACATAGGAAACGCGTTTGAGGCTGACGCCTTTGGGGGCTTGGAATCGCTCCCGGTGGGTGTTCGTGAGAGAGGAAAAAGACGCGCTAAAGTCATGCCCAAGCGCGGAGTTCAGGGAATTCGCGTTGACCTTTGTATGCCCGAAAGGTGCCTCGCCTTTGAGGGCCTCTTCGCCGCCGCCGGACGGCCTAAGCAGCCGAGTCGACAAACGCCCGACACTCCCGCGAGAATGGACGGCGGATTCACAAGATAACGGAAACGGCATCGACCAAAGCAAATCGAGCTCCGCTCGTCCGATTGTAAGGCCCGTGATATCCTTCAGAATCGCACTAATCCAGCTCAGATTCGTTCTAAGCAGAGACCCAACCAGAGATCGGTATAACTCGTTGATGATATTATTTCTTCTAAAACGGGCTTTGGTTTCGGGACCTTGGTAGCGATCCTCACTTCCATAAGGTTGCGCGCTCTCACAACCGTTGCAGGGGTCCTGAGATCCCAGACGATGAAACACAACCGACAAAGCATCCTGGAGGCGTTGAAAATGATGGGCAAGTGTTAGCACCGCACACACCCCAGCCGTCTGCTCAGCATACTGGAGCGCCCTATCGTTTCTGAACAGGGAAGCTTCCTCCTCTTTATCCACAGGAACGAGCGGAAAAAACAGAAAATAGTCGTCCGATGCACATTTCCTCCAAGCCTCACGCGTTTCTTTGATGACTTTATCCCATAGCCGCTGAGAGGTCTCCTCCTTCCATGTTTGATTAGATCTCCCTCCCCAGTTCTCTAGATCTACAACAAGGGGGAGCAAAGTACTGACTCTATAATCCTCATTCGACTTTCCCGTGCTCGTATTATCTCCTTTGTTCATGTCATTTTCATTGCCCATCGACGAACTCAAGTTTCTTGGTTGGGCATGCGGGCTTTCCACGGAGCTCTTTGCAAGGCTCATACCAACATTATGGAACTTAAATATATGAAACTCAACAGACCGCGGCATCCTCAGACGACCTCCTGTGGCGTCGCACATCAGTTGGAGCCACCCCCCGATGGCGGTCGCCGCCAAATGCAGCAGAAGTTCCTGTCTGCGATACTGCCCTTCCACCAGCCCTAACCCAGATATCAGAGTATAAACCTTGGTATACGTTGCAGAAAGAGGAACATACTCGGAGGAAGGCCAACAGGATGGCGTCGAAGACGAGTCGAGTACAGTTTCAGTATTGAAAGGATACTCCTGGAACGACGCACGAGCGAAAGCTACCAGATCAGCATTGATATCAGCCCACAAATTGGCAAACTGTGAGAGTGAGAGATTGGTGGGAGTGACAGCCATCTGGTAAAAGGAATAAATATTTGGATAGCAGTAGAAAGATAAAAGTAATTGTGGAAAAAGATATAAAAAGGAAAAACAAATAACAATAATGAAGAAAGCAGCGCCAGCAATAGCGGTCAGCACTGACTAGTATCTTAGAAAAATGATATCTACTTTTGATTCTTTTCCTGCTTAAAATTATTGATGGAAACCAGGTGGAAGATAAGAGAGTCTTTTGTGTTCCCTCCTGGGAAAGAAAACATTACGATACCACATACATGAAGAATAAAAGGTTTGTATTATTTCTTTTACCACCTCTATATCCTCATTTTGTTGAAAAATAGGGCCTCCCCTAATATAATGAATTTCACAACATCTGAAGCGTAATCTAACGATGCCTTGATGGCAGTAATGGAGACAACACTTGAATTAGAGATGACCTAGAAGAAAACATTTAAACTCCAGCGAGGCTAGACGAATCCTCGTTATTTTTTTCTTTTACGCGAAACGTATAATAAGCCTGGTCGTTTCCAATGTCGTTCTACCTGCTCCTCTCAAGGTAGTATTGTTCGGAGCTTGGACCACAAGCTAGAAAACCGAAAGAGCAGTGCTGCAGTTGAAAACGACACCACAATTTGTAATGCAACACAACTCGAAAGAGGCACTATGCGCTTGATATGACATCCAAAATGCGATACTATTGATGAATTAAGCGCTGCTGATATGCTTCGTATCCACACCTCTATCAGACAATAAGTAAATGGAAACGATGTGAAGGCAAACATCGTAAAAATAAGATTTTGTTTGCAATGGATGGAAGATTCCTTTTTCCCTTTTAGCTCAAGGGACAACCCCATTAGTAAGATTAGGGCATCGAATACATTATTCCAATTTGGTTTCTTGTACCTACTTTCCTCCTCGAGAAACTTTCCAAATGAGAAAACAAGGGAAATAACATCCAATATATTGTGTAATACAATTCCTGTCGTGGCAGCTTCAATTACAGCATCTAAAGAATCATATGAATTATATTCTTCGTTTTTTTTTGAGTATTTCTGAGGGTTTCCCTCTCGTGCAATTTCTACATAAAGATAGTGACATGGATGTGTATGGGAAAATATACCGCACATATTAAGGTAGAGAAATAAAGAAGCTACAAAAA